CTGAGGCTGACCTTGAACTTGCAATCCTCCTGCCTCAGCCTCCCAAGTTGCTGGAATTACAGACATGCACTACCATGCCCAGCTAGCCCTAGATACATTACATCCAAAAAGTAGGAAGAAAATGCATCCAGGAAGTCTCCTTTCACACAAATTCAAAAGAAATGTCATAGAATACACCAAAATTTTTGTTTTGACATTTGAAATGGAAGGAAGGGAGGGAGGGAGGGAGGGAGGGAGGGACACTATTAACTGCATTTCAGAGTACTGGGAAGAAAAGCATAGCAAGGCAAACTGTTACCTTTTTATTCAATAAAACCAATCTATATACAATATTATTTGAATAAATGAAGATAAGAAAGTTTGGGGGGATTTTTTGGTTGTCATTGTTTGTTGTAYCAGAGACAAAACCCAAGGGTGCTCTACAATTGAACTACATTCTCAGCCCTTTTTATTTTTTATTTTGAGACAGGGAATCACTAAGTTGCTGAGGCTGGTCTCAAAGTTAGAATCTTCTTCCAGAGTCACTGAGACTGCAGGCATGTGCCAGACAGCCAGGCTTAGATAAGTAAGAGTTAGCTAGACAATCTGCATTGTTTGTTTGGGTTTTTTTTAACTTTTCTCTATTAGAAACAATGATTATGTTTAAAATAAAATAAAAACAAATATTAAATACTAATAGTGTTATTAAATACAGAAAAATAAAATGTTATATTGCAAAATATAACAAGGGTAAAATCTTCTGGGTACAATGTAATTTTCTCTAATACTCTAATTTAGTAAAGAATGGTCTATAGTTTGGGTAGACCAGATGAGACATTTARAGCTTTTTCCCCAGTATTGTTAATAGTCTTTTTATTCACAGATAATACGTATTATAGGTAACAAAAGGGAAATGAGTAGTCAATAATATATACAATAACAAAAGCAAACCTCTTTACTCCCTCCATCCACTACAAGCCTTACCTAAGTGACCTTCTGCATTCTCTCAGCTCTGTCCACTTCTCTCATTGCTGCAGCCATTAACCTAATCCTAGCCATTTATCATCTCTCCTTAGGTTACTATATAATGCTTCCACTAATTTCTCTATGTGAAGTCTTAATCCCTGTAATCCACTCTCCATKTTACAATATGAATAATCTTTCAAAAATGCAAATTTAATCCAAGCTTGTTGGCACACACCTGTAATCCCAGCTGCTTGGGAGGCTTTGGCTTGATCATAAATTCAAGGCCAGCCTAGACAACTAAATGAGACCCTGTCTCAAAATAAACAAAACAAATAAAAAGGGCTGAGGCGTACCTCAGTGATAGAAAACCCCTGGGTTCAATCCCCAGCACTGCAAAAATARATAACCAATTTGATCATGTTACTTCCCCTAATTAAATTGAAGTGAGTTGCCCCTTCAATCTCCCCCACACCTTTTTTTTTTTTTTTTTTGGCCAAAAATAAGAACTTAGGCTAAGTAGTTTAACTTGAAATTTAGCAATTTTCTACATGTCTTCCTGTATGACAAGGAAAGCAAGGCTTAAATTTTCTTTTAAGATAATGATTACTATAAAATTTAGTCAAATATAAATTTTATATTAAAAATATAAAATTTAATTTAATATAAAATATAAATTTTATATTAAAAAAGTATCAGTGAGATGTGCGCAGTGGTTCATGCCTGTAATACTAGCTACTCAAGAGGCTAGGACAGGAGGACCCAAGTTTAAGACCAGCTTCAGCAGCTTAGCAAGATKGTCAACAATGTAGTGAGATCCTGTCTCAAAATAAAAAATAAAAGAGCTTAGAATGAGCTCAGTGGTAAAGCCCCTCGGGTTCAATTCCCCCAWGKTWAAAAAAAAAAAAAAGTATTGAGTGAATAATTTGTTCACACTAAAGATACTGCTAAAATCCTGAAGATTGTTGGGCATAGTGGTAAGTACCTATACACTGCTAGAACTTGGGAAGCAGAGAKGGGAGAATCACTTGAGACCAGCCTGGGTAACAAAGCAAAACCCAGTTGAAAAGAAAAACAAAAACCAAACAAAAAAACTCCAAAACCCAAGAAGCAAAAACTCTGTTGATTATATATTTCTTTCACTTAGATTATATCATATGGGGCTGGAGATGTAACTCAGTGGTAGAATACTTGCCTACTTAGCATGGGAAATGTCCTGGGTTTGATCCCCAGAACTATTGTGTGTGTGTGTGTGTGTGTGTGTGTGTGTGTGTTATGAGTAACAGATTTATAGGGATCAGAAGAAATAAGATTTATATATGTGTATTGAATCTCACGTGTGTGTGTGTGTGTGTGTGTCTTTTTCTAAGAGGTTTATAGGATCAGAAGAAATAAGATTTTTTTCTTCCCAGAATTCTGATAAAAGTATCTGATTAAGATTCTTTTTCATTGGAGGCTGGGTTGTGGCTCAGTGGTAGAGCACTTGCCTAGCATGTGTGAGGCACTGGGTTCAATCCTCAGCACCACATAAAAGTAAATACACAAAATAAAGGCATTGTGTTCATCTACAACTAAAAAGAAAATTTAAAAAAAAAAAGATTCTTTTTTACTGAACTACTGGATGTTGGAGAAATTAATGTAGAGATAGCATACACTTTAACTACAGGGAATAACAAGAACCCAAACAGTAGTTCTGCAAATAATTATTCATAATAAGCATAGAAAATAAAATGATCAAGCATATCATCTTTCAGGAAAAGGTATTTTTACCCTGGTCAGGGCAATTATGCAAAAAAAAAAAATTATATTGTTTTCTTTGGAGAAAGGAGACAGCAACCTTGTTCCTGAAGTTAAACTGAAATAATTGTTTATTGTTTCCCAGAAGGCATGACCTCACCAAGCCCTGTTTATGGTCATCACAGGCAAATCAGCAACTGCAAAAATTGACTTTATAGGTATTAAAAATGAARATTAATTCTAAAGTATTAAAACAATCAATTTCCTATATATTTTTAACTAATTAATTTGTGTATGTGATCATAATATCAACTTTTCTACATATACTGAAAAGTACAATTTATAAACAGTTAAGCATATATAAACTGCTTAGTTAATGCAAAAAAGCACTGTATTTTGATCAAATTGCAGGACACACTACATGAAAATTTATATGCAAAAAGCCTTATGAAACAGCATTGTTTATAGGAAGAAAAATCCAATTCTTATATCAGACCTCTGTACTGTGGTGGGTAAGGCTGCCAGGTTTAAAAAAAAAAAAAAGCATATCCAGTTCAATTAGAATTTTAGATAAACTATGAATAATCTTTTTAGCCTAAATATATTTTATGTAATATCTGGATTTCCTAGATAAATATTTATTTGCTAAATTTAGCAAGCTTACGCTTACGTACAGGTAATAGTGGCTAATGAATCTGTTTGGGGAGTTGACCAGAAAAGTAATCTAAGTTTTGAAAAGGTAGAGATCTCACTGAACAAACTACTCATTCTGTGGTACTTTCTGGATTATCATTTTAATTTCCTAAACAGTCAATGTGATTCTGGTCTACTTCCTTCGATTAGCATAAAAATACACAAAAGCTATGTATTTTTATCTACAAAATCAAAAAGCAAACAAAACTCTTAAAATACATAAGATGCATTTGAAGGAAATATATCAAAGTATTAGAGGATATTCTTGCCCTGGATGATAATTCTATAAATGACTGTTTTACTTTTTCTACTCTTCCATATGTTCTTCAATTTTTTATGAGCATTAAAACAAAGGAAAAACTTTTTCTAATGGATGGATAGAAAGTAAAGATTCTAACAAAAGACTGCTGAGGGCCATTTCCAAGTAGGAATGACGCATCRAAATTTCGTTAAATGGACTTGCCTTGGAAATCCGCTGTGACCTTGCATGTGTGTTTGAGAAAGGTGACCCTGCTCAAGGACGAGGGTGGATCCAGGTTTAAGGTGCATCCTGCAGGTTTGAGGAAGTATCCCGCTCCTTGGGTTTAGGGCGTTCCCRGTTTAAGACAATGTGGTTTTAGGGAAGTTCCAGGTTTAAGTTTATTGCTGCGAGGAATAGGACGTTCCTGCTGCCTGAGTTCCCGCTGAGTTCTCGTGGAATTGAGAAAGTATTTGGGACGTGAATTGTGCGGGCAGATTTTAGATTTCCCCTGAACGTGTGTGGAGGCCAGTGTGAGTTTGGGAATAAAGAATTGCTGTTTGAATCTACAAAGCTGTGAGTGGCTCATGATCTTGTGCCCAGCCAAGACTGCRGCAAAAGACAATAGGGAGTTCAAAGCCATCGTCAGCAAAAGTGAGGTGCTAAGCAATTCAGTGAGACCTTGTCTCTAAAATTAAAAAACAAAACAGGACTATGGATATGGTTCTGTGGTCAAGTGCCTCTGAGCTCAATCCCCAAAAGAAAAATTTTTTGTCAGATATTGAGATGCACACCTGTAATCCCAGCATCTTAGGAGGCTGAGGCAGGAGGATCACAAGCTCAATGCCAGACTTAGCAACTTAGTGAGACTCAGCAATTTAGTAAGACCGGCAATTTTGTGGACCCTGTCTCAAAATAAAAAATAAACAAGTGCCAGGGATATGATTCAGTGGGTTAAATATCCCTGGGTTCAATCCCTGGTACCAAAAACAAAATAATAATAATACTTTCTCTAGTGAATAAGAATTCTATAGAAATTTTGTACCTCTAGAAAAGAGAAAGGAATGCTTCCTATGGAGGCCATTAATGTATAAAAAAGAGTCTTGTATGATAATTTTACAGTTCTTAATTGGGGAAAAATTATTACCAAAAATAAACTATTCATTCTGTAACATAATCATAACATTTTGAGTACCATCAAACATCAGAATGCCATTTAGTAAGCCAATAAAGTTCTATTCTAATGTACTCAAAGTAGTCCCACAATGTAATCATTACCTAGCCTGAATTACTATTGTCAAGATCAAAGAAAAGCATCTTAAAGGGGATAGTATTATATTATCCTACATTAGTGAATCTGATCAATACAGATTGCTAATCAGAAGCAAAACCTCCCCAGTGGATTTTCTGGTTTTGTATTTAGTCTTTAGCTTCTCCTCTTCAGGAAACCCCTTATAGTTCCTAGTGAAGTTAGTACCTTCTCTAAAACATTGATATCCATTGGTCCTTGAGATTCCTAATATTTCCATAGAAAGGARAGATTCCTTCATGTTCTAAAATTTGTTACAATTTTCCCCTAGAATTAATTTGCAAGGAATAATGTAGACACAATATATCTTAACTCTCTACAAAAATAACTTCTAATTAAAGATAATGTCAGTTAAGAAGTAAAATCTGTCAAAAACATCAGTTACTTATGAAAACATTAACTATCTTAAAGTCTTATTTAGCATGCAGAGTTGTATATTACAGAGGAAAATCATTTTAAAAAAAAAAAGTTGGCTTGAACTACCTGAGGTAAAGAAACAATTTTTTTTTCTCTTTCTAGTTCATCAAAGACCAACAGTTGTGTAAAATAAAAATAATCATTAGATGGGGCTGGGAATATAGCTCAGCTGGTAGAGCGCTTGCCTCGTGTGCACAAGGCCCTGGGTTCAATCCCAGCAGCACAAAAAAAAAAAAATCATTAGTTTAAAAAAAAAAATATATATATATATATATATAAATAAAAGCCTTGGGTGTGTAGCAATATCACAATGCTAGAGGAGTTTCTAAATATTTATTCTTAATTCTGTACTTGCATTATCTCAAACTGGTAACCAACATTGGTGCATAAACTATACTTTGAAAAGTAATATCTTAAAATAAACATGTTTATATATATTACAATACACACTCATAAGAATTCATAAGAACTTTTAAATTACCTTTTCCTATAAGGACTCCAATTTTTGAATCCAATTTTTCCGCCGGATCACAACTTCTTGTCACTAATTTGAGAACAGGAAGAAAAGGTCTGACATCACAGAGTCTTCGTGTTTCATCTTCAAGCTCCTCATATACAGCAGTTTGATTCACACATGCAAACATATAGGAGTCAATTTCCATAAGGAGGTTAAACATTGGGTAATTGTGAACTTGCTTCCATAACATCTGCAGGAAAAAAGAGTAAGACCTTATGTGGTATGGAAACACTGGCATAAATTTTCAAAGATACATGTACAAGAATGCCCACCATAGCAGTGTTTGTAAAAACAACAAATTATACAGAAAAGCCAAATGCTTAGCAGTGAAAGACTGACTAAGTAAACTACAGAATATTATCAAACTTTGAAATAAAATAGAAATACATTCAGATATGGAAAGCCATATCAGATATATATGTTTCAAATTATAAGACAGGGTGTATAGTATTATTCCATGTTTGTAAAATAATATAACAGCACAGTGAATAAAATATGCATCATAGATAAAAATACTAAAAGCTAATTATCTATGAGGATTAAAAATCAATGAGGACTTTTAATTGAACATTTCTGTAAACATTATAAATAACTTCTAATAAAAAATTAAAATTTTGGGCTGGAAATGTGGCTCAAGCGGTAGCGCGCTCGCCCGGCATGCATGCGGCCTGGGTTCGATCCTCAGCACCACATATAAACAAAGATGTTGTGTCTGCTGAAAACTAAAAAATAAATATTAAAAAAAAATTCTCTCTCTCTTTAAAAAAAATTAAATTTAAAGCATACATCATTGGGCTGGGGATGTGGCTCAAGCGGTAGCGTGCTCGCCTGGCATGCGTGCGACCCGGGTTCGATCCTCAGCACTACATACCAACAAAGATGTTGTGTCTGCCGAGAACTAAAAAATAAATATTAAAAATTCTCTCTCTCTCTCTCTCTCTCTCTCTCTCACTCTCTCTTTGGAAAAATAAATAAATAAATAAAAATAAAGCATACATCATCATCCTCATACAAAATTTAAATTATGTTTAATGGGTATACTCACTAACTCTGCCCTATCATGATGAGAAAAGTCAATCTATCATCTCCTCCCATGTTTCCTGGATGACATAATGTAAAATAAGTTCACGATACAAAACACAAAGAAGGATTTCACATTTTGACAAAAGCCAGGAGATGACTATTATAGACCTGCAGTAAAACTTGTAACCTAGGTTCACTCTACATAAAACAAATAGGAGAAAGCATATGTATGCAACAAAGGAAAAAAAAAAAAAAGGTCAAGTGGTCTTCATCAAATTATAAATTTCTATATATCAAAGGACATATTCAGAATGAAAAAACAACCCATGGAATGGAAGAAAATATAAATCTGAAAAGAAATTAATATCCAGGATATATATGTACTCCTACAACTTAATTAAAAAAACATACAAAATTTAAAAATTGACAAAAGTGTTAAAAAGATAATTCTCCAAAGAAAACATACAAATGGCCAATAAATACATGAAAAGATGCTCAATATCATTAATCATTATGGACATGCATATAAAAACCAYACTGAAACACCACTTCATAGGTTGGGGTTGTAGCTCAGTCCTAGCACATGTGAGGCACTGGATTCGATCCTTGGCACCACAAAAAAATAAATGGTTAAACAGTAAATTTTTTCATGTATGTTTCACAACTTAAAAAAAGAGAAGGATTAATAAATACTGTCAGTTATAGTTAGAGGAATCTTCCATAGTTACCACTCAGACTATAAAAATAACAGTTCTCTGTACCTATATGGTACCTAAATCAACCTGTATTTTCTTTTTTACTTCAGCAATCATGCTGTTTTAGAATTCCCATGTCCCTGTGATGAAGAAGGTTGGAAAAGAGTTAAAGGGGTTTATCCAAAGTCAAGAGCTTTAAAGAGGTTTATCATAGTACTCATTTAAAATAAAATAACCCTGGGCTGGTCTTCAGCAGAAAACTCTTTCCCCAGAATTATCATGAATTGGAATTGGACTGGGGTAAACCAACCAAAAAGAACATGAAAAAACAAGTGTATCTAGCTCAAGGRCAGTAACTAGAAAAACTTTTAACTCAACTTTCTTGACAGTTTCAATAACCTGAACAAACACTTCAAACTACCTAACACAAGCCAATTTTTCTTAATTCAGTCATCATAATGGATTAAAAACAATTTAAAAGTGGGGAGCGACAGACACAGAGGCACTCATCTGTAGTTCCAGTGACATGGGAGGCTGAAGCAGTAGGATCACAATTTCAAAGCCAGCTTTCGTAAAAATTAAAAAATAAAAAGGACTAGGGATGTAGYTCCGTAGGAAGAGTGCCCTAAGTTCAATTCCCTTCATTAAAGCAGGGGGAAAAAAAGGGCTAGGAAGGAATCTAYAGGAAGGATTTGAGTGGGGAAACATGAACAGAGAAGTAAACTCCCTTATAAAAGTGGGAGAGAGAACAAGCATGTTTGATATGTCCATAAAAGACAGGGCATATATCAAAATCTTTAAAATGACTTAAAGGTCAAACTTCTCTCAAATTTACCACAAAATTTACAATAATCACATTTTTTAATAATAAAATGTCATTTCTCCCTAAGTGACATAGAAGGTAAACTAAATCTTTAGAAATTTTAATTATTAACATACCTGCTTAATATAAGAAATAGTAGCTTCCCGAGGTACCTCCAACTGGATATAAATCCCAGTGGGCAAAAGAAAATCCACAGGTATGGAGCCATCAGATGCTATCTGTGAGTCCACTGCCCAGATGTCAAGAACGTCTGCCATAGCAGGAGGCATTATGAAACTGAAGCACATTCATAACCATGGGGCCCTAGAAATCAGTAAATAAAACACAGCAAAACAATGATTAGCCAATTTTTATATTAAAATATGACAAACAAGGAGCATACCAATTATCCCAGCTACTTGGAAGGCCAAGGCAGRATGATACAAAGTTCAAAACCAGCCCAGGCAACTCAGACCCTGTCTCAGAATAAAAAATAAAAAGGGCTGGGATGTAGCTCAGTGGTAAAGTACTCCTGGGTTCAATACCCAGTACCAAAAAAGTTTATATATGTATACATATATGATAAAGCCCACCAATCCATAATTAGTCTTTGGATTTCAACATAACCAATAACATTAATAGGAAGCTAATTTAAAAATGTGTTACTTTTGAAGCCAGGTGTAGTGGCACATGCCTCGAATCCCAGCAGCTCAGGAGGCTAAGACAGGAGGACCAGGAGTTCAAAGCCAGCCTCAAGCAAAAGTGAGCCACTAAGCAACTCAGTGAGACCCTGTCTCTAATTAAAACACAAAATAGGGCTGGGGATATGGCTCAGTAATTGAGTGCCCCTGAGTTCAATCCCTGGTAAATAAATAAATAGAAAGAAATGATTAAAATGTGGGTTTTTAAAAAATATTTTATTAGTTGTTGATTGACCTTTTTTTATTTATATGTGGTGCTGAGAATCGAACCCAGTGCCTCCCACATGCTAGGCAAGCACTCTACCACTGAGCCACAACCCAGCCCTAAAATGTGGTTTTTGAAATAAACTATAATTATAAAATATATCACTATACATGTATGTGTGTTACATAACAAAAAAATTAAATAAACCAAGATTCAAATCCCATTTATTTAAATCATGAAGGTCATGTCAATTTAGAAATCAACTTTGTTTTTTATTTTTTCTTTTTTCAATCATCATGCCTCAGTCTCTCAGGAAGCTGCAGTTTACAGGTATGCCCCAATGCACCTAACAAGTTGACACATTTTTTTAATATATATTTTTTAGTTGTAGTTGGACATAATACCTTTATTTTATTTATTTATTTTTATGTGGTGTTGAGAATCGAACCCAGTGCCTCGCACATGCTAGGCAAGTGCTCTACCAGCCCTAGTTGACACATTTCTGGCCATTCTAACTGTCATGAATAGAAAACACATCAAATACATTTTAAAAAATGAGTTCATAATGATCCAAAAACAACAACAACAAACCCAAATTTTTCATTAGTCACTACTGGAGACGGCTAAGACATCACTGACTCATTATTTTAAAAACTGATAAAGAATGAGAAAGTAAATCAAACATATAGCCTGCTAGTACTAACTCTACTTGAGTAAAATTATTACAAACAGGGGTTAAGTTTGTCTTTTTCTTAGTTAGAAAAATAACCATTTTGYAATCTCTAATGATTAATGAATCTAGACAAAAATCATTAATAGATTCTAAAAAAAACAGTAATATTGAGTGAAAGGATGATAAGAAACTTTCCAATAAATTTATCTTATTGACAACACATGAACCTCTAATTGATCTTAACATCACAGAAAATGAGAGCACCGAACACTATGCTTCTTACAAAGTATTGGCAACAAGAAGTACTTACCCATCCCTATACTTTTCTTTGAGAAAACAAAACTGAATCTGGGTCTAATAGAGCCTCTAAAGCTGATCTATATCAGCTGAAATTATATGAAATACAGTAAGAAGTTAAACACTTCAACGAAGTAATCGTAATCAGCCGAGTGTAAAATGTGGGATGTTCGACAGAAATAAAGATAAAGTTTATCCAGCTAATCAATAACAAGAATAGGGGTTAGGTGGTGGTAGAAGACCTGTTAAAGACTAAAAGAGCATTCAGAAGATAGAGCCACAAGGTGAGGTACTGGGGAATGAAAATGATCAAATTATATTGTCACACTACATGACTGTACGTGTAACAATAAACCCTGCTATTACATACAATTAAAATGCACCAATAAAAAGTTTTAAAAGAAGACATGGCCAGACCCAGTGTTAATTTGAACAATTATAAAAAACTATCTTTGAATAATCTGGAAATTTTAAATACGGATTGACTATAAGCTCCTTGTGGGCTCAGCCCATGCTTTTTAAGTTCTGGTTTCTCATTGCAGTATATGGACAAATCTCTACATATTTAGGAACTCTAAACCAATAAATTTTCATAGCTGAGAACAAAACTACACAAAGTCATCACATGTCGCAATGTCACTAGACCTGGAATCTTTAGGCAAATCACTTCAGAGCAGCCTTTGAAAGTTGTTTTCAGTGGAGGAATTTCTAAACCTTGCATGTAATAGGTATTCAATAAGTATCTGCTGAATCAAAACAGGCTGCATCAAAAAAGATGCTTTCACATATTCAAATACCACCATGCAAAGACAAACACAGAGGAAAGTCAACTCCTGAACAAGTCAGAGCAAGTACTATGACTTAAGAGTTTCTAACAAAAGCTTAGATGAAAAACAAAGTTAGCCTTTAAAATAAAGAAGGCTGGGCTGGGGATGTGGCTCAAGCGGTAGCACGCTCGCCTGGTATGCGCGCAGCCCGGGTTCGATCCTCAGCACCACATACCAACAAAGATGTTGTGTCCGCCGAAAAATAAACAATAAATATTAAAATAAAATAAAATAAAATAAAATAAAGAAGGCTGATGAGGGCTAGGGGTACGGCTCAGTGTCAGTAGTGGGGCACTTGCTCTGAGCTGAATCCCTAGACACCCCCCCCACGCACACACACACACACAGCTTATGACACATCACCCATCTGTCACAAAATGACAATCATAATGACCTATATCTACTCCTGGTTTTTGGCAAGACTCTCTCAACTGAAACCAAATCACTCAAATAATATAAATAATAATACAGGAGCATGAGCTGGCATGATGGCACAGGCCTGTAGTCCCAGCAACTTGGAAGGCTGAGGCAGGAGGATCACAAGTTCAAAGCCAATCTCAGCAATTTAGTGAGACAGTAGCTCAAGATAAAGAGGGTAGGGGATAGGGAATGTAGCTCAATGACAAAGCACTCTTGGGTTCAATTCCCAGTATCAAAACAAAACAAAACAAAAAAACAATAAATAGGAGAATGAAACTATACAAACACAACCCTGGGATCTAACCCTTACCACACAGCTGGAAACAGTAAAGCATCCTAATGTGCAGAGACCAAAGCAGCCATCTTTCCCAGGCTATGCAGGCACTTCATCACCAATCCCATCAACTTTCTAGACATGAAACTCTAAACTTCTGGGCTAATAGTGGAAAAAGCACTGAGGTGGATTCCAGAATTTCTTGATGACATGGTTATATATAAAAATGAAACCTGAAAATGCATCACAATGAGCTCCTACTCTTCTTCTTGTCTAAATCAGTCACTTAACACAACATATATGTACAGTCATGCTGAAATACTGGTACTTGCCAGCAATTCCCATATTGTTCCTACCTCCTACCTGAAACACATTATTCCCTCTCCTTACCATGTCCTCACCTCCATGTCTCCTGAGAAACTCTTTTACACTTCTGGATTCCTGGAACCTCCCACTGATATTTCTCTGTGTGCCTCAAGCATATTAAGCCCTYGATGAATATTTATTTATGGTTAAATGAAACAGTGAATAAAAAATTCTATAGAACTTGCTGGTAGAACAATTATACCAGATACTTAAAATGTGGTTTAAGTAAAATAAAATTGTGGTTTAAATCATGCTCTACAGGAAATATTAAACTATAYAGCCGTCAATCTAGTCATTTAGCACCTAGTCTAATGCCATATATATAGCCTCCAAAATCGTTATTATGAACGCAGCACAGTGGTACATGCCTGTAATCCCAACGGCTTGGGAAGCTGAGGCAAGAGGATCACAAGTTCAATGTCAGCCTCAGCAACTTGGTGAGGCCCTAAGCAATTTAGCAAGATCCTGTCTCTAAAAAATAAAAAATAGAAAGGACTGGGGATGGGACTCTAGTGAAGCACTCCTGGGTTTAATCCATGGTAATAATAATAATAATAATTATTATTATTATTATTATTATTTAAAAAGTGACATTATGACTGAGAAATAGAAAATTCCGTAGTCCATTTTCAGAATACAGCATTTAACCTTAATTGGCATATAAGATCCAACTGTAGCCATTTTAATTATGGCCCTTCCCTTTGCACACCCTAATTTGAAAATTAGCTAGATTRTAACCCCATGCTCCTCCTATCAAAGCAGGGGCAGTACTGCATTAGGGATAAAAGCTGGCGGATTGCCTACCCAGGTGTACTTACTTACTAGATGTTCTTTGGTACCATGCCCTTCGGCAGAATTAAAGTTTGTCTTATCAACACATTTCCAAGCATGTATTTAAGTCCTTGCAGTACTCCAATATCTCCAACATTATGTAAAATGTTTTTACCAATACACAAATGAAATGCCATATATATCTACATCTAGAACTTCTTAAGAAGTTTGAAATGACTTAACTCAGATATTTAAATCAATTCACACAGTTTTACCAAAATCAATCTATATCTTGAGTATATACATTTTTCTATAAAAGAATAAAGTAGGAAAATATTAAGAGTTCTGATTGCATCACCATTACTACAGATCAGGCTTTGCCTGATATCAGCATGTTTAAAACTTATAATCTCCTCACCTGTTATGAGAAACATGATACAGGTTTCACCTATAACTTAAGTATGAAACCCTCACTATATTKCGATTCCGCAATGTTACAGGCATTTTCAAAAATGATGTATTTTTAACTGATTTTCCACTATAGAACTGCTTGCTTTCATGTTATGGCATTCTCCATCAAATTTAGACAACCCACATCAGGATAGCTATTATTTTTAATATATTAAAGAATACATTACTCATTTCAGAATTAATTAAGCTAAATATTTATGTTTTATGCTCTTTTCAAAATGCTGTATTTCACTACAAAAAAATCTTAAAATTTTTAAAATGGTAAAATGCATTGCAAAGTCTAAGTATTTTTCTTGTTACATCTTTTTCTTCCCTTCTT